CTAATGAATGTTCATGGAAGTCCCGACGTAGCATTTTTCATGTATTAAAATATTTAAGTTAAATGGATGTTGCTTAATATTTCTTTTATTGGTTCATGTAAAGGTGCATAATTTAAAATATTGCACTTTATTATTATTGTTGTTGTTGTTGTTGTATTTTATATTATTATGCTATTTTTCACTGTGTGAAAAACATGGCATCATTATTTTTTAACCATTTGTACTTTATTTTACTTGCATTAAATATTTGGATTCTATTTAATTGCAGTTTGGTTAAAGAAGCCATTGCGGAGTAAATACATATTGTAATGAATATAATCAATATACATATAGCTATGTATGTCATTTTATTTAGCTATATCGCCCAGTCCTATCTCCTATTCAGTCTACAACTACAATGCAAGACACTGTGGTCCTGCTGTCATTTATTATCTGCTGTTTACTTTCAGTTTGACCACATATTTGTTATGTTTCTGTTTCCCACGCTCAAAAAATGGCTGTGTTTTTGTTTATAAGCCACACACAAGCCAAATAACTAGTCCTGTAGGCCGATAATGAAGCCTGCCTTGATTAAAAACAGTAATTGTCATTGTTCAAATGATAGAAATAGAAGTAAGGAAGCAAAAAGTGTGGAGTCTCTTTGCTGAAATACTTTGTAGCTCCTGTATCTGCTGTGGGTGTCTGTGAGTATTAGAGCTCTCCAGTGAGAAGACTTTGAACTTCAGACCCATCTGCGGGGTGCTGGAGCTGATTAGCAGCAGCTGCACAAGCGATTGGGGAGCTGTTTATAGAGGCTGGCAAACCGCGGTTAGAGCACGGACACGTGTGCATGTGCATATGTGTGGGAACGAGAGACAGTAGACGTGTTCACACCTATTTATTGTGTTTCTCGCATTAGCTGTTGACAACATGCACAAGATACAGTTGCTTTAATTGACTGTTTAGAACATTAGATTAATTTGTGCGTTTAATAACTGAAAAGGAAATTCTGTCATCATTTACTCACTCTCTTGTTGTTCTAAACCTGTATGACTTTCTTTCTTCACTCCAAAGGAGATATTTTGAAGAATATGGAAAACAGTGTACAGTGGATTTTGAAAAAATATCTTTTGTGCTACCGAATCTTCTTCCACACTTTCCACATTGGCATCCATCTCCAGTGCTTCCTCTGCATCACGTACCTGATGTGCATTTGTGCTCTTAGGCAGTCTTGAGTAAGCAAGTCCAAAGTGATCCACTTTTTGGAAAGCCCGTCATCTGTCTACGAGGCTTCCACTTGTCACCGCAAATGACATATTCCAGGGTTAAATTGCGGTTGACGGTGAATGCAGAGTTCCCCCTCACCATAGCCGTGAAGAGGGCACCCCTGCTATTAACGTAGTGCCCTGGCATGGCCGTCCATTGACCCATAGTGATGTTGTAGCGCATGAGGCAACGAAGGAAATCATCATAGGGGCCGTTCCTCATGACATACAGGTTGTCACCGTGAGCCACCATGCAGTGTCCATAACTTTGTGGCTTAACTATAGTGGTGACCAGCGTCCATTCATAATTTTTAAGTGCATATTCATAAATGTCCGTAGTATCCGGTGGCTTCCAGAAACACACAAATATCCTACACCTTGCAACTGCACTAGCCGCTGCAGCCACAGAACGAGGCGCGTGCTTGGAAAATGTTCATGCACCTGTGGAGACATCACACACTTCTACTGAGGACATGATCCTTTTGTCAAATTCACCTCTGATGGCGTACAAATGTCCATCGTGACCCACCAGGGTAAAGTTATACATGGACTGCTGAGAACCATTGAACACACTCCATGTGTTGGATTCTGTGTCATAACAGAAGCTCAAGTCAACAGTTTCCTTGCTAACTCCTCGCACTCCTCCAACGATATACAGTCGGTTCTCCACAACAGCCACCCCGGCCATAGAGGTGCTGGCATCTGTTGGTAGATCAGTCAGATATTTTCAAGCACCCGGTTTCTCATCAAGGTAAAACACCATCCTGTAGCAGTCCTGCAGAATCTTCATAGATGGCGAATGAGTCCCTAGCGCAACAAACAACGCTGGTGAAAACGACTCCACATAGCAGATCAGCTCCGCTGGGACTGCCTCGAGAGCATCTTGCACATCGCTATAAGCATCACGGATGAATACTGCAGCACTGTGAAACAACCTCCACAAGCCGTACACCGCTGCAATGCAGTTGTTGGTATCAAGAAGGTCTATCAAGTGCTGAACCAGGACGTCGACTTGGAGGAAGGCCGCACACTCAGCAGCCTCCACAATCTCGTCTGGGTCTCGTATAGCAGGGCGCTCACTCCTGGAAACCGCCATGGCGATGAGGAAACCCCTGGCTTTCAGGCCACCCTGCAGGTGGAAATCGTTCAGCTGACTGTCCTTCATCCCAGAGCGGAAGAGAGCACGGAAATACTCACAGTTCTGCCGTAGGACGGCCCTGTCTATGGTGAAAACGCTTTCTTCAACCCGTACTCTCAGAATTCCAGTGAATCTTCACCTTGTTCTTCACTTTCGTCCCTGCTTTGACCCAAACTGCAGGGGGCCCCATAACACCTCTATCCTGCCTGTCCGTACCCAGATTACACTGTTCATGAACCATAAAGTTAGACTTCGAGTTAGTGTTTCTGTAAGCAGAAGTGTGCAGACACTGCAGTCTCGCAGTTATGCTGGACTGAAAATAGCAACACACTAAAATAGCATAGACAGACATTTGACAGACTTCAAAATAGTAGTGGGAAATTATCAGCACTAATACTGCAAAAAAGTATATCCCAATATAATGCTGAATTCATCCAGTTTAAATTAAGTTGATTTGTTTAAACAATTGAATTAATTATGCTGTTAATTTTTTTCCAACAGTAGGCTTATAATGATTCAAATAAAGACAGAAACCCATAAATGAAGTGATGACAGTAGTTCAGAAAGCCACTCCTGTTTTTAATAAGACTAAGAAGATTATTTTCCTTCAGTACCCTCTCTACCTCATAAGTGTTTTGGCCCTGGTGAGTTACTTTTTTTTCTTCACTGGATGTTTGGCATGGAAACAGGGGGATTTTCCATGTTCTGGGTGTTCTTTTGGTCTCTTGCCCACTTGCATTCTTTGCTTTTTGTCCCAAAGACTGGTGCTTTATCATTATTTATGCCTTATTCTTGAAATGTTTCCTATATAGACTACATTTTTCTATCAAAATTTTACTTTTTAGGGAGAAGATGGTGTGATTTGTGGATTAGAATAAGAAAACAAGTCTTGGGTGGAGTTCAGTCTCGACAGAACTGAGATTTTAAGATTTTTCTTTTGTCACACTGACTTTTATGTCCAATTAACAGCATATGAACAGATCCCACTGTTGCCATGTTGATTCTGGGATGTGGACATGGTCTTGAGCTTCAGTCAGAGTTTTAAGCTACCCCGAAATGCCTTCACTTTCTATTTAATCATTGTCAGATGCCTGAGGACTCAGCACACTGTTTTCTGTTTCAGAGATTTTATGTTGGGTGTCAGAAGAGCGAGGGCGGGACGAAGTGAGAAATGTGGGGGTTTTGATTTGGGGTTGATGTGAGAAAAACAATACTTTCTACACAGTTCAGTCAGCATCTTCCTCCTCTGTTGGGCTGCACTTATTTTCCCACCAAATGGTCCTTTTACATTTGAGATCACATTGTGTCTTTGACTCTCGTTCTGCATCGCTTATTGAAGCTGAGCCTCTAGCAAGCGTTTGCATTCAACTGTGTCCTTGACATCCAGTTGTTTATATACATGCCTTGCCATCACTTAGCCTGCCTGTTCACCTCACTTCTGCCTTTGAGAAGCACAAGCACGTCTTGTTAAACAGGAGGTTTCAATCCAGCCACTTAGTATAAAGTATAATGCAAGCGAGAGGAGATTTTCCCAGCAGTCTGTCTGTAACCTCTTGTCATCAGTCAACTTAATGGTTCACAAGCTACCGCTAGCCCTAATCAGCCCAAACACAGCCAAGTGTGTTTTGTGTGGCATGAGAAGAAGATCAGTGTTCTATTTGCCCAGGGGCTGTCATTGCATTGTGGGTATCAGTGGGGAATTTAGTAATGTTATGAACTGGCTGATTTGGGAAACCTCATCGCTAGCTCCACACCCTTTTAAAACCATTACTCCTGCAGGCAAACACATGTGGAATTCCTTTTCTAGCTGAGCAGGGCTAAGGTCAGGGAGAGATCAGTTTCGAGGAAGAATCCCCCTTTGGTCAGAAACAAAAGCCCACATGAAAGACAGGTGCACAAGCTCATCTCTGGAGAGTCCCTCTATTTGATTAATTCCATGGGAGTGTGTTAGAGATGTTCAGCTTGGATACAGTTCCTGTGTTGGTGTACTTTGCACATTGTATTTATTAAGTGTACTGAAAAGATCAGCATAAATTTCCATGCTGGATCAGGCATGGGTTTATGATGGTTTATTTTTTGTCTAGCTACAGCATAATCATGCAGTTAAGCAGCAAAACTTAGGTAGTAAAGCTAGTCGACCAGCATGGTGTGGTGAAGCTGGCTGACCAAGGAGGTCTTGCCTCTTATTCCTTTATGAGTTTGTAATACACATCCCTGATCTGATATTATACTATCACATTAGATTACAATTAAATTATTAATAGCAATAAAATAATTATCCATCTATTTGTATATGTGTGTGTTGGTGTAATTTTGTTTATAATTTACAATATAATAATATGCAGGAATTAATATCATATAAATACTTTATTAATATCAATAATTGTTTAAATATTACATTATTAATATTTTGTATTTTATTACTTTCATTAAAATATATTAATTTGCTCCACCTCTGAACAGTTGGTTGCAAACTCACGTTCAGGAGAGCAGCATCCGACATATAACAGCATTTTCAGTGGGAATAACATAAAAGTAGAATTATTATTCAATGAAATAATCAGTATGTTGACATAATTATATTATCTTTCTCTTTTTTCTCATTCTTTCTATTTCAGTGCAACATGGGAAGGGAGCCATTTCCTCTTCCACCACCTCCTGCTCCTGCGTCTATAGAGCCTGAAAGTTACTATGAAGATCCACAGCCCTATGATCCTATAAGCATCAATGGTACGTCTTGAATTGGGTCCAAAGTTGACCTAAATAGAAAATATCTTCTACTGTTTATTCTTTACTTTGACGTTCATGTCAAGCCATTTATAACCTGGTTAAAAAAGGATATTTCCAAAGATTAGGTTAGTGATTTGTGACTTCTCATTGCGTTTGTCCTACGAGAGGTAACCTATGGTCATTGAGTGCTCTGTTTTAGCTTCGTCCCTCTGTAGTCTACATCTTTACTGTGATACAGAGAAGCCTGCGGGCAGGGAGCACAGAAAACAGTGATGGTCTTTGTTCAACGGTAACCGGTACTCTGGCACTGGACATGCAGTGACGGAACATTGACCGTGAGCCCAGGAAATGGGGCCAAAAGTGATGGGGCATTTGGCTGGGGTTGCAGAGTTCAGCCCAGCGAGGGGACAATCATTTACAATATTTTTTGGCAGATGACGTCTCTTCTTGGTCAAAGGATACAGAGGCATTAGCATGCAGCTGTGCTGTGTAATATCAACACACAAAGGATGTGCATGGCCAAAATCTGAGATGTTTCGGCAGCTGATATCAAGCCAAACCTCATGGTTTAGGTTGAATGACGTGAATTTCTAGTTGGATACGTTCTGACAGTGATGGAGCCCTAAAATAATACAAGCAAAGGTGCTGCTGGTTGCATGAAAACCACAAGACACAAATATTTAGTGCAGGCCAAAATATGAGTATTGAGTTTATGCAATAATAGTGAAAATTTTTCATACATCAAATGCACTTAAAAAGTATTTACTCTTCCTGTTTCTTTCATGTGACATGTAAGCCACATAAGGTTTCACTGTCTATAGCTTCTCACCTGATCTTTTTTTCTCTTCCTCCCTTATTGCATTTCCCCTTTTATTGTCCTCCTGTGTTTCTGTAGATTTTGGGTGCTTTGCCATCATCACAGGGGTCAGGAAGCGCATAGAAACTTCAAACAGTGTGGTCTATGCTGTGATCACTCGGGGTATCTATCTCTGTTTCTCCCAGTGAGTGAATTTCTAGTTGGATACGTTCTGACAGTGATGGAGCCCTAAAATAATACAAGCAAAGGTGCTGCTGGTTGCATGAAAACCACAAGACACAAATATTTAGTGCAGGCCAAAATATGAGTATTGAGTTTATGCAATACTAATGAAAATTTTTAGACATACATCAAATGCACTTAAAAAGTATTTACTCTTCCTGTTTCTTTCATGTGACATGTAAGCCACATAAGGTTTCACTGTCTATAGCTTCTCACCTGATCTTTTTTTCTCTTCCTCCCTTATTGCATTTCCCCTTTTATTGTCCTCCTGTGTTTCTGTAGATTTTGGGTGCTTTGCCATCATCACAGGGGTCAGGAAGCGCATAGAAACTTCAAACAGTGTGGTCTATGCTGTGATCACTCGGGGTACCTATCTCTGTTTCTCCCAGTGTACATCAGGAGAGAAAAACAAACAAACAGCACTAACTTTATAGGCTGCGGTGAAGTGCACGGATCTGAGAAAGCCTCTTTGTGTAATGCAACCTTAAGCCTGCAAACTTTGCATGTGCTTGCTTGAGAATTTAGCATTAGTGGAATATCCACAATTTTTTTATATTATTTTCAAAATAGGCAGTGTATGATTTTTTTATGCTACTGTGTTCAGTGCTACAAAAGTTCAAAGGATCAGACTCCACTACTGGATATCAGTCTGCTGGGCTGCAGTGTTGTCTACAAAGAGAAACAAACTAAAAGGAAAGAACACAAGCTGAAAATAACCCCACTGGGTGGAGAAGCCATCGTTCTCGGACTGCAGAGCAAAGAGCAGGCTGAACAATGGCTAAAGGTGAGGGACAATGGGGCTTGGCCCATATGGATGAACAATCAGTGTTCGGTTTGTGCGGACATAGTTTATAGTCTTTCATCTTTTATCAAGGTTATTCAAGAAATTAGTCCGAAAAATACTGCAGGATGTGCTGATGTAACAGACTCTCCAACACTCATCTGTACTAAGGTATGATAGGTTGAGGTTTATTCTCTGATTGATTGATTTATGTAAGAAACACTCTCCAATTTTGGGTGGATTTTTCATAAAATAGTCACTGTATCCTGTTAAGCTTAAATGTTCTGCCTTTTCTGGCAGGGTGAGCAGAGCGAGAGATACTCAGTGGCATCTGAGAGTGGAAGCAGCACAGACAGTCACGCAGAGAACCTGGAGAACAAAGATGGTGAGAGTGGGCCATTACAGCTATTCTTTTAGGTGTCTGTTTGCTTGACTACACTGGAAGTGACTTGAAGTTGTCTAAACTGGTAGCGTTGAAGATGCATGTCACCTCAGAATGTTGCTTAACCCTGGACCAATCAGATTTTAGTTGCAGACTTGACTACAGTATCAATACATTGCGTTAATAACTTTGTATACCAATTTATTTTCAATAGAAATACATTGATATAAGAATAGAAAATGCATAATGACAATTAGAAATGGGGCAGCGATCAACTAAAGTTGTGACACCTAAACAGGCACTTCCAGAGAAGAATTCCAGAGTAGATTTCACAATATTACTGTTAATACTGTACTAGCTGTATAACTGTAATTGTGTGTTTAATATTTACCTTTCAATTGTCATTTAAACTTTAGTCAAGAAGAAATACGGCAAGTTTAGTAACCTTATGAACATTGGAAAAAAGAAGGTTTCCTCTTTGGAAAGTCCGGAGAAGAATGTGGATACATCAGGTAACCAGGCAACAATATTTTTAGTTTATACGTTTTTAAACTCCCACACAACCTACCATTTTCATCACCATCTCTTTGTTCCAGGCTACCTTAACATCCTGGTGAACACCCAGTGGAGAAGCAGGTGGTGCTCAGTGAAGGACAGGCAACTTTGGATCTACAATGACAAAAGCAAGAGCAAAGTGGCCCAGCAGCCACTGTCTTTGGAGGGGTGCATGGTCCTGCCAGACCCCAGCCCTGAGCACCTGTATTCATTCCGCATCCGAATGGATGGAGAGGAGCTCGCAACCCTAGAAGTGAGTTCATCACTAACTAGTCCTGCATAGCAAGACTTTTGACTGTGTAGCTTATTCCAACCACTTAGATAGGAAGTGATCGTCTGAATGACCTATAAAGCATTCAGCCACAGTTCTTTTTTTTTCTATGTGCCGTTTAGAGATCTGAAAGATATCACAATAATAGACCGTGGGAAATAATGTGGGAAGTCATTAAAAAAATATTGAACAGCAAGAACAGCAGTTATGAACAGTCATACAGAAAGCACTAAAAACATTAGTGGAAATGTGTTTAGGTTTTGTAAATTTATGTCCATCCAATTATTTCACATACAGGAAACAAACAGAAAATACAGTTATATACAACTTGTCATCTAGCTTGCTCGCTACTATCTCAAACAAAACTCAGAATATCTTCCAAAGTTGGTGGTGTATGACATCTGTATAAGACAGTTATTTGATACAGTTAAGAGCAGTCTACAGTAGACTTGGACGCTGCAGTAAACCGAAAGCCGGAAGTCTCTGATTAGTAATTCTTTACACTCTCATGATGAGCCACTGTTTTTCCCAGTCTCAGTGTCTGATGCCCTCATGTATCTTGGCATCAGTCCAACAGCCTGAAAGAGATTTCTGAGAACTCCCCTCTCTTCATTCAATTCTGGTGTATACAGCTTTGCAAGATTCACAGTTAATATTTATGTGCTACACAAACAATATACGCTTCCAAGTTATATACACTACTGTTTAAAAGTTTGGGGTTGGTAAGATTCATTAGTCTGTATTGTTTTTGAAAAAAACTCTCTTGTGCTCACCAAGCTGAGTTTATTTGACCAAAAATATAGCAAAAACACTAATATTGTTTTCTATTTTAATATTTTTTTAAAATTTTCCTGTGATGGCAAAGCTGAAATCTCAGCAGCCATTACCTGAGTCTTCAGTGTCACATAATCCTTCAGAAATCATTCTGATATGATGATTTGGTTCTTGAGAAACATTTCGGCTTATGTTGAAAACAGTTGTGCTGCTTAATGTTTTTATGGAAACAATGCATTTTATTTTATTCTTTGATGAATAGCTTTTCTTGAAATAGAATATTTCTTTGAAATATAAATCTTTAGTAATAAGTCTTTTCTGTCACTTTTATTTAAACTGAATGCATCCTTGCTAAATAAAAGTATTAATTTCTTTAAAAACAAACTACAGACCCCAAACTTTTGAATGCAAGTGTATTTGTATTTCTTTGTGTACAGTATCTCTTTTGAGTTACTGCTCATAAACTTTTCCTGACCTCATTCTTGAGTTGTTTATCATCAGTTTTCAGCAAGACACTTCTCAGTAAACAAACACAGAGGGGGAAAATGGTAAGTTCTCAAAATTACTTCATAGGATAGTGAGGATTCAGTATAAACTTCAACGTGACTGCCATCTTCAGGCCAGAATGAAATCAGTGTGCAAACTGACCTATTAGCAGATAATTTCACCAAGGCCTAGCTGCACCTGTTAAGGAATATGAATATCTCAGGGGGTATGATCAAATATCCTCCTCTTTCCTCTCAGGCTAAATCCTCCGCTGACATGGGCCACTGGCTCGGGCTCATACTGTCACAGACAGGCACCAAAACAGACCCGGAAGATCTCACCTATGATTATGTGAACTCTGAGAGAATATCCAGTATTGTCAACGCTGCCAAGACGTCCATGTAGTAAGCTACTTCACGTACATCAGTTATTAAAAAAAGAATAGTTCACACAAAAATAAACATGTTGTCATATTTTACTCACCCTCATGTTGTCACAAACCGGCATGGGTTTCTTCCATGGTGCACAAAAGGAGAAAATTTGAACAGAAGCCTATGTGCTGAGACTGTAAACTTCCAAAAAAACAACAAAAAAACAAATGTACCATAAAATGGCCCATATGACTTGTGAAATATATTCATAGTGATATGATCGATTTGATTGCTTTTTTGAAATTTTGGAGCCCGATTTGTTTGTATTTGTCAGTCTAATGCATAGGAGGTACTCAGAGCCCAACACATACACAGACAGCCCTCCGTCAGACCCCCATACTTGTGATGACATATACGATGATGTGCCATCCACAGAGAACGAACAGGAGGTGGGTGAGACAGCCTTGCCATGCTTTTGTCGTAAATCTACGCCACCCACTTTCATGCAGTTGTGTTTATTCTGAGTCATAGACTCAGTATAGTGGAAGATTCACTAAGCATTCGGCCAAAAATAATACGAGTTACAGGAAGTCATTACTGTGACAGTGTTGTGTTTTTGTAACTCTGCCGGCCATCCAACTTCAATAATGTTTTTCTGATACTGTTACTCTCTCCGGCTATAGGAGGTTCAAGAGGTTCAGAATGGCAGTGAGGAGGGAACAGCAAGCGGCGAGGAGAATGGGAAGGACAGAGTGTATCTGGATCTGATCCCGGTTCGCTCCTTCCTGCACACGAGCTCGGGCAGAGTGTCACCACAGACAGAGCTCAGTCCCTCATCTGCTCCCCAGGATGATCAGCTACACTCTAAAGAGGTTAACATTATCAAATGGAAAATGCATGTTAATAGATCTAATCTTGAGCATATGTATGTTTCATTTCTTTAAATTTACTTTGTATTTTTTTTATGTAAATCTTTTGCAACATAATAAATGTCTTTACTGTCACTTTTTAAGACATTTAATGCATCCTTGCTGAATAACTTATTTTAAAAAACTTACTGACCCCAAACTTTTAGTTTAGATAGTGTAGGCCTATTTATACATTTTTGCCAGTACGTGCATCCCCTGGTAATTAAATCCATTACCTTGGTGTTGTTAGTGCCAAAATACAGATATTTATTTAGCAAAAATTATATAAAATGTAATACAAAAACATGTAAATATACAAGTATTTTAATACAAATGTTTAAAACCTTCTATACTATTCGTTTCTAAAACAGATTGAAACAAGTGAAACCTCATTACCGAGCAGCACAGAGAACCTCGACCCTCCACCAGTTGCTAATAGAATGGACACAGATCCATCTCCAGCCCCAAATCTGCTTGTCCAGACTCAAAGAATCAGTTTCCTTGGTCAGGAAAGCCAAAAGAGGGCCTCTCCCACCTTACTGCCATCCCAAACCCAAACCCTACCCCAGACGCCCCAGAGTCCGTCCACCTCCAGAGGAAGAGCTGCCAGCACAGACCGATTTCTCGAAAAACTCAAGTTCTCTCCAGCAGGTGATTGTAAAACCATCAATTGTAAAACAGACCTACAAAACTTTTATTTATTTACCCTGCTGTGCTTTTCCCAGCCATGCACTCAAGTGAGCATACCTTCAGTATTTGAATGTAGGACATGGCTCAAAGCTCCTACACATTCGCTCATGTTTAGCAGGCCCGGGGTCAGTTGAGGTGAAATTAGGGAAGAACAGGACGGAGGCCGATGTGCGGCGTTACACAGACGAGAGAGACCAGCTGGACCGAGAGAGGGAGGAGGTTAAAAACACTCTGGCCACCCTGAGGAAAGACAGACGAGAGGTGAAAGAGGAGCTGAGCTCCTGCCAAGGTACTGCAGTTCCACCTAATAGTGATATTTGGAAATGCCCATGTGTTAAGAGGTAGTTTCCATCATAATTAACAAACACTCATGATGTTCCAACTTTGTATTATTTTCTTAAAATTTTCAAGATGCAATTGGAATTTTTACAGGTGACCCTGGACCACAAAACCAGTCATATACATCATCTGCAAGCTGGATAAATAAGCTTTCCATTGATGTATGGTTTGTTAGGACAGGACCATATTTGACCGATATACAGCTATTTGAAAATCTGGAATCTGAGGGTGCAAAAAAAATCAAAGTATTGAGAAAATCACCTTTAAAGTTGTCCAAATTAAGTTCTTAGCAATGCATATTACTAATCAAAAATTAAGTTTTGATATATTTACGGTAAGAAATTTACTAAAAATCTTCATGGAACATGATCTTTACTTAATATCCTAACGATTTTTTGCATAAAAGAAAAATCGATAATTTTGACCTATACAATGTTTTTTTGGCTATTGCCACAAATATACCCCAGCGACTTAAGACTGGTTTTGTGGTCCAGGGTCACATATATTACTTGTTAGTTGTGACATACTACAACACAACACATGTCACTCTACATGTAAAATGCTAATAAATGCTTTTGATTATGGCTCATAGACCCCACTCAGCAGGCCTCTCTGGAGGCTCGTCTGAAGCAGATGGAGGAGACGTGTCGTGAGGCGGAGCGCCGGCGAGTGGAGGTGGAGCTTAGCCTGATGGAGGTGAAGGAGAATTTGAGAAAAGTGGAAGCAGGACCCTTTACACTGGGCACCACGGTAGATAGCAGTCTACTGGAAACTTCAACGGTTAGTATGACAACAGCAAATCAAAATTTTAGAAATGTAAAGTATATAAAAAATAGAAAACAGTTATTTTAAACTGTAATAATATTTCACAATGTTAATGTTTTTACTGTGTTGTATTTTTGATCAAATAAAAGCAGCCTTAGTGAGCATAAGATAGTTGTTTCAAAAACAAATGTACCTACTCCAACTTCTGAATAGTAGTGTATAATCTGTTGCAAAACCAAGTGAGCTGACTATCTGACATAAGCATACTAAGTAGTACAATTCAGAATAGGTAAGAACTACATAAAAATGGTTTTTTAATGATTGTACTCTGAGCGGCACGAGTCCGGCTGACTTATATTGTTGTGTATTCTAGCCCAAGATAGCGCCTGTATCCAGCCCTGCTCCAAATACACCCATCAGCAACACCAATAATGGAGATTCACCCATCAACTCCGCCACAGCGCTGAAGAACAGACCCCTGTCCATCATGGCATCCAGCAAAGGAAAAGTTCTGCAGAAGGCCAAGGTCAGAGTCCACTTGTGCATCCATAGTCCTAATAGAGAGCTTAGTTTGTTGATAATTTAACATTTATGATTTATAGAAATACGTTTCTCAATCAAAGCAACTGTACACAGAAAAGTACTAATTAACATATTTTTTGCATAATTCCCTGGCATTCTTTGAAGTACATTAAAGTATGTGTATAACGGTATATACACTATCATTAAAAGGTCTGGAGTTGGTAAGATTTTGTAATGTTTTTGACAAAAGTCTCTATTCTCACCAAGGTTGCATTTATTTGGTCAAAAATACAATAAAAACGGTAATATTGTGAAATATTACTACAATATAACTGATAACTATCATTAAAAAAAAAACAAACAAAACTTTTATAGCTTTCTATTTAATTTTAAAATGTATTCTCTGATGGCCAAGCTGAATTTTCAGCAGCCATTTTTCATTATTCTTTGAAAAGAAAGTTCAAAAGAACAGCATTTATTTGAAATAGATTTTTTTTTGTAACAAAGTTCATGTCTTAGTCACTTTTGATCAATTTAATGCGTTCTTGCCGAATAAAAGTATTAATTTCTTTATTTAAAAAAAGCTTACTGACCCCAAACATTTGAACGGTTGAGTATATACAGTATAATAATGGTATATGAATATGGTTATCCAAGTTACAACGGTATTACTATCTGAAACCATTACCACCACAAGTGTATTCAATCATATATTGATATATATATATATATTTTTTTTTTTTTTACAATATTTTCCTGTGTTATTGTCTGAGCTTATGTCATTCTCTCTCTGCAGGAATGGGAGAAAAAATCCACAACCTAGTGGAAGGGAACAGAGAGCGCAAATTGACTTTTTAGCCAAAGCTCAAAGGACTGCTAAGGCAAATGCTTCAGGCAGGGAGAGAGAGAGAGAAGGAGGGTGTGTCCAATGACCTGTAGGCTCCGCCCCTCTGAAACATCAGCCTCCACTAGTCCCTGCTTCTCTGCATTCAGAGGCTCAGAAGGTACTGGTTACATGCAGGCAGCTGATCCAAGACAATATTTTCTGTTCCCTGCCAAATAACGCCACTGGACAACAATAGATTTTAAATCTATTCAAGTAATTTTTATGTAAGAGAAAGGAAGGGAATAACTGAAATAACTCTTTCAGTGGTGTGCACATTATTTGATGGATGTTTCACAAGCTTGAGAAGAGACCAAAAAGCTTCGAGAACCACTATTTTTAGATTGAAACATTTAGATTCAAAACCGTAAATCAGCCATTTGGTACATTGTAGCTTGGTTCATGTATGCTGGTAACCAAGATGTGAATATATATTACATATCCATTCAGTGTTTTTGATTTGTTACTGTACGCTAGCTGAAACATGCACTTTTTATTCAAATAAAAGTTTGTACTGACAACAATTCATATTTATGCAAAACCAGTAGTTAAGAACCAGGCACTCTGCTTTGAAATAGAAGAAAACGGCATTTTCTCCAGTAGGTGGCACCAAAACATCACTAAAATACTATAAAGTATTTGAGAGACTAAAAGTTCTGGAAAAAATGTAATAGCTTTACAATAGACAAATGCACCACTGTAGTTAATACAAAATAAATATAGTCAAAAAATTTAAGCCTCTAACATGAGGCTTTCTGTAACAAGGAGTTTTCAATATGACAGATCACAAGCAGGTCCAAATCTCAGACAGAATACATGTTCATAAAGGGTTTTCAGTGCTGAATAAACAATAAAAAACAGCATCAAACCCCTTAAGATTGATCACAAATTTAAAAAAAATCCTCATTTAAGTCACAAATAGCATGTACAAAATTCATGAGATAGATACACATCCCGTTTGAAGTGTCGCCTGGATTGCATGTTCATCATCATCTTAAGTCCATGTTTATAATGACTTGTAACTCACATTGCTGAGCTGTGGCTCTGTCTACATGTGTTTTCTCTTTATCTGTGCTGTGTTAGGGACACATGTCTTCTGCGTTGCTCCCTATAGCGCTGCAGCAGCTCTTTTTCACTCTTGTGCTGACGGTGCCTCAGGCCTGCAGGTTTAGGAAGATCTCCTCTGGATGGCTTCTCTCTGCTTCCTGAAAAACAAGTTCACAAAAATACATTACTCAAAACACTTAAACATACCCTGCTGACCCCTTGTCCATTCTAAAAACACCAAAATTATGACCCATCCGGCAGGCACAGAAAATTGACAAATCATATTGAGCACTGACATAAGCAGATGTGTGAAGCCATGTTACATCATGTTCATAAAATGGTTTAAATAATCAGGATTTACACGGCAAACAATCAGTTTCTTTATTCAGTATTTTACATTTACATGTACATACTTTTATCCAAAGCGACTTACAAATGAGGACAACAGAAGCAATCAAAACCAACGAAAAGGGCAATAATATATTTTAGTATTATTAGAAAACAAAAATATCTCAACAACCTAAAATTAGGTGAAAAATAATACTTGTTTTTTTTTCAGATACTACATCTTGATTATTTATTATTATTACTATTATTATTATTCATTTTTTTCTTAATTTTTTCATTTTATTAAGCATGGAAATTAAATGTATAAACTACTGTTTAAAAGTTTGGGATTGATAAGGGATTGGGTTTGGGATTATGCTCACCAAGGCTGCACCACTGATTTGATAAAAACTACAGTAAAAGTAATATTATGAAATATTACAATTTATTAACTTTTCAGCAGCCATCACTCCAGTCTTCAGTGTCACATGATCCTTCAGAAATCATTCTAATATGCTGATTTAGTGCTTAAGAAACATTTCTTATTATTAATTTTTGAAAACGGTTGTGCTGCTTAATATTTTTGTGGAAACTGATCATTTTTTTTAATTCTTCAATGAATAGAAAGTTCAAAAGAACAGCATTTATTTGAAAGAAAACTCTTACATACTTATACTATATATACTCAAAAAAAAAAATTTATATATAATTTTTTTCACTTGTTTAAATGTTAAGGATATTTAGCTATATCACTAAAAAAGACAAAAATAAGAAAGTGTTTTTTTGTGTGCAGAATTTGTTATTTATTATGAAATGATCATAACAACACTTTTCTGCTGCTTGTACACTGTAATGACTAAATTGTGAAATAACTTGGAATATTTATATTTTTTGCCTTAGATAGGAAAGTAGTTAGATTGGATAGGAAGTGAAGAGGGGACAGGACCAGGAATTGAACTCGGTTTGTCTGTGGCGCAACCACATCTGTCACACTGCAGGATTATTCCACTGAGCTGCGAATAAGCTAAAAGTAAACTAAAAATGTGGAAAAACTAGAATGAAAACACCTATATATTTGTCAACTACCAACCATTGTCCAAAAACTAATTAGTAGTTACTGGTACTGACGTGTTTCGCAGTGTGGACCCTTCCAACCTTGGCATTCACAGCGGTAGCTGCCGTTCAGCAGCACACAGATGCCATCATTCATACAGGGGTTTGGACTGCACAGGTTAACAGCTTTTTTCACGTCTGAAGAAAGAGGAACAAGTTACAGAGAGCAACACATGACTGTAAATACATCAGAGACGAAAAAATGCTTTCAAAGAGGAATATTTGTGCTCGTTGATTCAGCTCATCACCTGAACACACCATCTGTACCAGCACATCCTCAGAGTATTTCAGGTCATCGTATGAAGGAACAGAGATCATGTGATCCTCAGAGCCGGTGATGCGGAAGAGAACCTCCTGCTGTATGTCCCCGATGCCGACCACAAACACTGACACTCCACTATCCCGGATCTTCTGGGCGGGCACCGCTGCATCTTTCGCACCCGTCCCATCAGTCAGTACCACCACGGCCTTGTTGACTCCAGGCCGCGCTCCTTTCCCCACCGTCAGGCTTTGGGAGAGCACATGGAGCAGGGCTGAACCTGTAGAGGCCTTCCCACCCAGAAAAGCAGCGTCTCCCACCGCCTTCAGCACAGAGGAGCCCGAGTCATACTTGTCCAGGTCAAAGACCGTGACGGGCCGCCTCCCATAAACCACCAGTCCCATCTGAGCCACATCTCGATTGATGTCGAACTGCACTGAGGTTCTCCGAACAAAGTCTTGAAGGTGGACGAATTTCTCCTTTCCTACACCACTGGAGGCATCCAATACAAAAACAAGGTCCAAAGCTTGACCCAGACAGCCTAGCAAAGACAAAAAAGGGCTTTAGTATAATAGTTAAAAAAATAAACTGAAAGAAAAAATGTTTCAGTGCTTTAGCTTTTTATTTTTGTAGAAGATTTGCAGTTCTCCCAAGAACCTAGATGTTCACTTGAAAAACATGAATACATTTTCAAAATGTTTTCACAAAACTTTTGCGTTTCCGTGTTTGTTCACAAAAGTTTTGTTTCCTAAAGAAACTTGTGCTCACTTGCAAAACATTTGCAATCAAAACCTTTGCGTTACCCTGAGAAACTTTGCATTTGTTCACAAAAGTTTTGCGTTCCCACAAGAACCTTTCAAGAACCTTTCCCACAAAAATCCTTTGCATTACCTTTACAAATGTCTGCTCGTGATTACTATTAACATTTTTCACAAAGTCCCTTGAAAAACATGTGCCCTCTCAAAACTTTTACCTTTGCTCGCAAAACCTTTGTGTTCCCCCAAGAAACTTAAGTCAGTCCCATTGATTACTGATTATGATTTGAAAATCAAATTCTTTCTACATTTTTCTTTGTATTGGGGTTATTTTTGTCTTTTTCTTTCAGCAGCATTATGTTTTGATTAAGGTCAATGAATTATCGTAACGATTCCAATTTTTTATCTTCATTATCATTGAGTAAATCAAAAAACTCTTCATTAATGTGCAATGTTGTCAGTAATTTTGTACTATGAGATTAGTGCTAGGCATACAAACTACTTTGATGGCGCTTTAAGCAGTATCACTACCCACTTAAATTATTCCTTGAGGAACAACAATTTCAGGACTTTACTGAGGACTTTAGTGGTTAAAATGATGAACTGCTGGGATATCTACCCTGGTTGTCGACACTGCAAATTTTGGCTCTTAGTTAGGGGATCTTTGCGCTCAATCTGTCGGGTGACTGGTATTTGATGGTGTGCTGGGGGTTCCCCGTGATGTTGTTTATTTCAGCCCTCATCTCTTCTGGCGCTACACTGATGATGAAGATCTCCCTGTCCCGTGCGTACTTCGCTGGCTCCACCACAGGGTCCACTGACGGCGTTCCTGTGAGCAACACTACCACTCGCGGCAGGTCGTCCTGAATGTCGGCGAACACGGGTGAGCTCTGGAAGCCGTGGCGTGTGACATAGTGAAGGGCGTTTCCAGCCTTGGCCTGCCCACCTCGATACTGCAAGCCCTCAACAGCCTGGATCAGCTTTGCCGGGTCTCTGTGCTCCCCAATTTTGGCCTCGATCTTCACGTCGCTTCCATACTGGGCCAACCCCATCTTCACAGGGCTGTCAGAACTCAGTACAGCCTGCATGAAACGCTTCAGGAAGGACTTGAAGCGCAAGAAACCCTCCAGAGTAAGTGCAGAGGAGCCCTCGAGCAGGAAGAGCACATCCACGGAGCAGTCGAAACTTAGAATGGGAGCTGGAAAAAGAGGATACGGTTAAGAGCCGCTCTGACTGACATACAGTACATTTGGATTCCTTTCTAAGATCTAAAGAACATGCTTAACATTCCACTTCTGCATTATCTCATGTTTATTTTAGAGTTTAGTTAAGATCATGTGAGACAACATTGTTAAAGGAGAAGGGAATAGGACTCGACTCTCCTTTATCCATTAAGATTTTCATAAAATGAAAATTCTGTCATTAATTACTCACCCAAACCCATAAGACCTTTGTTCACTTTCAGAACACAAATTAAGATATTTTAGATGAAATCTGAGGTCTTGCGGGTTTGGAACGACATGACGGTGAGTAATTAATGAAATAATTTTAATTTTTGGGTGAACTATCCCTTTAACACATGCAAAAATGCATTTACGAACAGCATAAACAAACAAAAAGATCCATCTCTCACTCTGCAGGTAAGTGGGGTCATCTGGTCTAACCCCTGCCAGTGATGTCATTCATACTGACAGACAGAAGGAGGTTATGCGTGTCATCACGTTCTGATTGGCCGGATGATTCTATGTTAGTGTTACAATGGAACTCATGGGGACTGATGACAGCTTCTATCTCTGAATCTCATTTAAGAAACTACCTC